GGAATGTGGAAAACATCAACCAGTATCATTAATGTCATAGGCAAGTAAAATTTTGCTGACATTTACTCAAAAATGGTTGCAGAAGTACATCAACAGGGAGCTGCCAGAAATTCAAGCCATCCTCAGAAGAGGACATGGAATGAGGGATACCATTACTGACGTCAGATGGATATTGACTAAAAGCCAAGATTACCAAAAAGATATTTGTTGTTAAGTGATGTTGAGTTGATTCCGACTCATAGGACCCATTGTATAGGGTTTCCAAGGCTGTACATTTTTGCTGGAGCAGACAGCCTCATGTCCCTTAGTGGCTGCTTGGCTCAAACCACTGTCCTTGTGGGTCATAGTCCAGAGCTTATCCTACAGAAAGATATTTACTTGTGCTTTATTGACTATGCAAAGGCTTCACACTGAGTATATCATAACTAAGGAATAACATTGAGAAGAATGGGTATTCCAGAATACTTAATTGTGCTTATAATGTATCTGTACATTGACCAAAAAGCAGTTGTTCAAACAGAATAAAGAGATACTGGTGGTGGTGGTTATGTGCCATGGAGTTGGTTCCGACTCATAGCGACCCTATATAGGGCTTCCAAGGCTATACATCTTTATGGGAGCAGAAAGCCTCATCTTTCTCGCACAGAACAGCTGGTAGTTTTGAACTGCTGACCTTAAGATTCGCAGCCCAATTCATAACCACTACGCTACCAGAACTCCTTAAAGACATACTAGATGATTTAAAATCAAGAAAAGGGTGTGCCAGGGTTTTATCCTTTCACCATACTTATGCAATCTATATGCTAAGCAAATAATCCAAGAAGCTGGATTATATGAAGAAGAATGTACTGTCAGGATTAGCGGAAGGCCCACTAATAACCTTCAATGTGCAGATGGCACAACCCTGCTTGTTGAGTTTTGAGCAACTGGATTATATGTAGAATGTGCAGGAAGGATTGGAGGAAGACTCAGTCAAGAATCTGAGACATGCAGATGATATAGTCATGCTTGCTGAAAGCAAAGATTTAAATACTTACTGACGAAGACCAAAGACCACAGCCTTCAGTATAGCTTGTACCTCAATGTAAAAAAAAAAAAAAAAATCCTCACAACTGGACCAGTAAATGTCATTATGATAAATGGATTAAAGATTGAAGTGCCCAAAGACCTCATTCTGTTTGGATTCATAATCAATACTCATGGGAGTTGTAGTCAAGGAATCAAATGTCGTATGGCATTAGGGAAATCTGCACAAGACTTCTTTAAAGTACTAAAGAGCGAAGGTGTCAGTTTGAGGACTAAGATGAGCCTGACTCAAGCTATGGTATTTTCAATTACTTCATATCCATGTGAAAGTTGGACAATGAATAAAGAAGAACGTAGAAAAATTGATACATTTGAACCGTGGTTTTGGTGAATATTAAAAGTGCCAGGAGAACAAAGACATTTGTCTCGGAAGATGTGCAGTCTCGAGGATAGTGAGACTTTGTCTCGTGTTCTTTGGTCACCTAATCAGGAGGGGTCAGACCCTGGAGAAGGACATAATGCTTGGAAAGTAGAGAGTCAACAAGAAAGATGAAGCGCTCCAATGAGATGGACTGACACAGTGGCAGCCACAAAGGGCTCAAACAAAACAATTTTAAGGATGGTGAAGGACTGGGCAGTGTTTTACAGGGTGGCTGATTTGGAACCTACTGGCTGACACCAACATCAACAACTACCCAGTACTTACTAAAGTAATCCCTTTCAGAGCAGTTGGTAATGGTAAACAAGCACAATCTAGTTCTTCTGGTCTCAGGTGCACGCGGTCCATTAGTGCAAAGAATGTTTCTATGCATCTTGGATTTTCTTCACTCTTCTTTGCTCCTGGCAGGAAGAGACCAATATTGTACCTCACAAGCTTTTAAGATCCCAGTTGCTACTCAGGAAAAACCAAATAGGATGTAGAACATTGTCTTCATGGATTATACCAATTGACCTTGGTGTCTCCTGAGACTAAACTTCTAAGGCCCCAGGCCAAGGTGTTTGGGTATGGCTGTTTCTTAGGAATCCTGGTGTGGCACTGTGGGTTAATGCGCTGGACTGTGAAGTCAGTTTGAACCTCAAGGTCGGTGGTTCAAGCTCACCAGCCCCTCCTCAGAAACCCTATACAGGAACACAATGGTTAGGAACCGACTTAATGGCTCTTAACATCAGTAACAAAAATTTCATAACTTTGTTCACTGTATGCTCTACTGTAACATAGCAGTATAGGTAAATATATATATGTAGAAATGTCCTCTGGTAAACCTATATATATAGATATAAAAGGAGCTCTGGTAGCGTAGTGGTTACGAATCCGGCTGCTAACCTCAAGGTCAGCAGTTCGAAATTGCCAGTGATTCCGCGGGAGAAAGATAAGGATTTCTGCTCCCGTAAAGATTTACAGCCTCAGAAACCCTGTACAGGGTCACTATGGGTCAGAACCAACTTGACAGCACTTAACAACATATATATATGTGTGTGTGTGTGTGTATATATATATATATATATATATATATATATATATATATATATATATATATATATATATAGGCTCCTGGTGTGGCACTGTAGGATAAGCACTGAACTACAAGGGTGCCAGTTCAAATCCACTAGCTGCTACTTAGAACCCTATACAGAATTGCTATGCGTCAGAATTGATTCGATGGCACTAACAACAAACCTATATACGGAGTGTGGGTATAGTCCTAGTCTCCTTCCCACTCCTGTTTAGCTTTTGACTGTATGCCACCACTCATAGATTGTTGTTACTACAGGGCTGTGTGTAACAGTGGAATACATTATCTTGTGTACCCCTTGAGTTGAGTGCTCCTAGTTCTGACCTCACCAATAGTGTATAGAGCCTTGCCTTGCTCTCAGTTGGAAATTATCTGAGTTCAGATTACAACTGGACTAGACTAAATGGAAAAGAAAATGCTAATACTATGTGCTGTCAAGTCAGTTCCAACTCACAGCGATCCTGTGTAGGGTTTCTGAGAAGCAGCTGGTGGGCTTGAACTGCCAACCTTGTGGTTCATAGTCCAATGCTTACCCTAAAGCACCACACCAGGAATACATGGTGGTTGGTGATTACGTGCCATGCAGTTGGTTCCGAGTCATAGCAGCCCTGTTCAGGGTTTCTGAGGCTGTAAATCATTATGGGAGCAGAAAGCCTCATCTTTCTCCCACAGAACAGCTGGTAGTTTTGAACTATGGACCATGAGATTAGCAGCCCAATTCGTAACCACTAAGCTACCAGAGCTCCAGGAATATATAGTGCTATATATAGTTTGGTTACTATTAAGTTGGTTCTGACTGATAGCAACCCTGTATAGGGTTTCCGAGGCTGTACATCTCTGTGGGAGCAGAAAGCCTGTTTTTTCTCCCATGAAACACCTGGTCAGCTCAAACCACCAACCTTGTGGTTCGCATACACATCCACTGTGCTCCTAATGTATAGTTTTAGTATTCATCTATCACTTAACAAGGTGTGGTACAGTGAGTTATTTTTATATGGCTGTTCTCTAGCCCTAGTCTTTGCAACTCCCACCAAATATCTTTTTCATCCCCTTATGGGTAAGAGAAGGTAGGAGAAGATGACAGAATTCAGTTGTGAGTGATTGCTAAGTTAATTGTGATTGTAAAAAACTTGGAACTCGAATGTGGGTATAAAATGAGCCATCTCAGAAGCAGGAAGGGGATTTCACAGCCATCAAGGAAGAAGACTCAGGAGTGGAACACATCCTTTGACCTCCAAGATCCCTGTGCATTGAACCTTCTCGATCCAGGGACAGAAAGCTATGACACTGGAGAAGTACCACTAGAATAGTAGAAGAGAAGGAGCAGTCGCAGAACTAAGAAACAGAGCACCAGAAACAAGTACCAGAGTGGGACGCTTCCCAGCCCACGGAGCAAGTAAAGCTGAGTTCCTCTGGGTAGGAGGTTCACTTGTGGAGTAGGGTGCCTCCAGGGACTTAATTGGGGAACTAGGCTTGCTGGTCCATGGAGCTAGAGCCGAGTCTTTGGGCTGAGACTTATGGCATTGATCAGCAATGGTAAAAGAGCTATGGAGCACTGACTGAGCAGGGCAGAGGCCAGGCCAAGGGGCTGAGAACCAGAGACACCTGCCTAGAGGCATGAGAAAAGGCTGTCCTGACTGAAAGAAATGTGTCCTGAGCATTTCTGGTCCTGACATGTAAGCTGTTAAGTTCCCTAATAAACCCCATCCCTATGAGTATGGTCTGAGTTCTGTGTGGCCATTGCCATGACTTACAGTAGCCAGCTGAGTAGAGAGTGCTGTTGGGGGAAAGCTGGGTGCCCGTTTTATACAAGGGGAAAAGAAAAGAAAAGTTTCATAATATACTTCATAGAGTGACTTGAATGGGTATTGTATTTCCTTGGGCTTCAAAATTATACTGAAACCCAATCATAATGTAACTGTATATTGAAATTTAGCATAAGTCCAGTTAAAATGCTCTGAGATGTCAACCTAGTCACCCACACTAAACAATGTTAGTGAGACGCAGATAAGTAGCCTTTATCCTCCCCTCATGTAGAAATAAAAGTGCCACAGAAGCCTTTCTAAAGCCACAGGTTGCTAAAGGAGTTATCTATAAGAGATCAGAAATGCATTTGAACATTTCTAAATAAATAGTCATTAGGAAAGTTTTCAAAAACGGAATTTTAAAAATGTGCACAAAGGTATAAAAGTCTATTTTATTTATGCTGAGATGTATATATCATTGATTTAGTTTTAAAACAAATTCAATACACAATTTAATTTTTAATATTTTGGTTAATCTTCAATAACCTAGAAATAAAACAGTCTGAAGCTTCATTGTACAAATTTCAGAAATCCATTCAATAAAGAAATACTGTTTGCTAATTCCCCTGGAGTATAAAACTTTAGAATAAAACCTTTAGCCTGTGCACTTTTATTAAGTTACATAATATCCTGCAAAAGACTAATTTGTGATGCATCAACAAAACTCAACCCCACTTTCTCCAATAATAAAAAAATGTCTTTTTGAACTGTTACTTTTTAAGTGACGTGAAACTAAGGAGAATTGGCTGTTCATTTTAGAGTCATCTTGTTTCGAAAAAAATATTCTATGCTTTACTATTTGCTGCCACGCCTTACAGAGATAGGGTCTATAGTCGATGTCCTCATTATTTGAATGCTTAAAGGCAGACGAAGGTCCTTCTGTTGAGTTTGTGTATTTTTGCATGAGGCTTTGTGTTGATGCAAAAAGAACCAAGCGATACTCATTCACAAGTCTTTCTAAGAACTGAGAACATTTCTTCAGAGTAGACTCCTGTAAGTTAATACTTTCTCCTCCATTGGCACGGTCTATCCAGTAAAAAGCTGACAAGCTATCTAAAATCAAAAGGCAGAGAGAGGGGTGGCTACAAAACAATGTTTCTAGTGAGTAAAGAGTAAGAAGTAACTGGGAGCTACTATTGCAGTACACCAAAAAGAATCTTCCAAGGCAAGATTTTATTCTCTCTTCAGAGCTTTGGGACAGTCTGTGTTCAAGGATCGTAACGAGTCGAAGCATATCAAAGTGGTGATCTGTGTCAATAAACAAGACTTCTATTTCCAGTCCACCTTCTGACTTTGGAAGTATACATCGTGTCGTTAAATGATAAAACATTTCTGTTTTTCCTGTTCCTTCTGGACCATGAAATTCAAGAATATCACCTGTGTAAAAACATAAAATGCGAGTCAAAATGCCACAGCATAATTAATAGATTATAAAATGAAAAGTCTGCCAAAATGTTTAAAAATACATTTACTGTACTGTGAAAGAAAATCTAAATCCATTTGTCAAAATGGGGGCGGGGGGGCGCATCAGCTTCATATTGATCCCATCATATACTGTTTCCTTGCCATGGTTACAATCCCTTCCATCAACCAAAGGGTACACCCGGCACGCCTGCCCCCCGGTCATCCGCATACCACCCCTCTCCCTCTCCAGGTCCAAAGTCTCCAGCGGCTCCATCTCCCCAGGTCATCATTCTCTGCCTCCATCCCTGGCATCGCTGCTTCTCTGGGTAGGGTTCTGTTCTCTGCTCTTCTCCTTTGATGGTCCCAGGGACCTCTGCTCCTAGACTGCAAGATTAATCACTCTCCTTTCTTTGCCCCAAAATGTTTACCTTTATATTTCCAGACCTTACAATCAGTACTGATAACAATTATTCGCTATTGTATCACAAGAGACCTATCGGCATTTCCTTTCATCAGCCCTGACTAGGCAGAATGGATACTACTCAGTGGAGATTCTACCTTGCTACACGCCCTCTGGATCTAGGTTACCTCTTGAAAGCTTTGTAAGCCAGTCACTTCTTGCCTATGTAGCGCCCCCATTCTGGGTAACCAATGTCCAAGTTGCCCATCCCTGTCCTCTCCGTGTGCGGAGGTGGGAATGATCCTCGCTGTGAAGATCTGTTCACTCTTTTGAGCTACTGCTTCCATAGGTGTATGTCAAGTTCATCAAATTATATCAGATTATTTCTTTTTCCCTCTTCTTTCTTCTGTTTGAGTTCTGATCATCCAGCCATTGAAGCCAGGTCAACTGGGTGTTATCTGTAAGTGTGGGTGTACTTACACATGTACCCTCTCTTCTTATCAGCTGGACGCTTCACTCTCCATTCTAGTCCTCTGTGGCTATGTCGCTGACTCTGGGTCCAAAAGTCCCCTAGACCAGGTCTCCATCCAGGTTAATAGGAGTCTACTGAGTATTGTAGGGCTTAGCTCACAGGTCCATTCCTGGTTTTCCCTCACTTCCCCTAATCGGTGACAAACGTGGTCACCAATCAGAGCATGCATTCCCATTGAGCCTTAGTCTTAGAAGGGGTTTGCCCTGAGGGGGACCCGACCACTTGACTTGATGCCTCCTAGGCGAGCCACTTGTTTGTTCTTGTAGCAATCAGTTGGTCTGCCTATATTGTTTTGTATTTTTCCTGTCAGTCTTTCTTTCAGGAAGTATCTTTTTTGTTCTGGCCACTCCAGGCTGGTCTGCTTGTCCTTTCAAGTGGAAATTTCCCACCTCAGAAGATTCTGGATGTGGTTCAGGATTCCATGTATGGTCTTGTGTAATGCAGAGGATTCACAGGAAGCCTCCTTCACTGGGCACATTGTATCCCCATTTTAGGTATTCCAATCAGTTATAGGCAGAAGATGGACTTACAAGCTTTCTATGGTGGTATTTCTGGCTATTCCTTTCTCTCCCCCTACAGTGTCTATTTTATTGCGATATGCCAGGTGAACCAAGATTCAACAGACAGCCAAGCATCTTAACATTATTTCCCCCTTTTCCCCATTCAAACCATGTCTCAATTTCTGTATCCCAGAGCCCTGTTGTTCCAAGGTTTTGCATAGGTCATTTGCCTCTGTCCCACTTCTGCTTCACATTCATCTTATCATATTTCATTTCATTGAAATGATTAAAATCCCCTCTGTGCATCATCAAATAACCAAAGGATACACCCCACAGCCCCCGCCCCACCCATGGCTGTCAGCAAATAGCTCCTCTTCCTCCCTGAGCCCCATGTCCCCAGCCACTCCATCTGTCCATGCCATCATAGTCCTCCCACCATTTTGGGTCTGGGCAGTTTCTAAACTCCCCTCTCCCCACCCCCTCGCTCCCAGGCTCTCCTGCGTCTATTCCCTACCCTGTGCTCTTTCTTCCCCTCCCTCCCCACCTCTCATCCCATACATACCAATGATCAGCACTTATATATTTAGATTTTTTTCCCCCCTCTTTTGGGTGAGTTCTTTTTTTAGTCTTTTACAATAATGGTCTTATGCAATATTTCTCCTTTTGTGACTGACTAATTTCATTCAACATAATGTCCTCAAGGTTCTCCATGTTATGCAATGGATTGCAGCTTCCTTGTTGTTCTTCAAGGTAGCACAGTATTCCACTTTGTGTATGTACCACAGTTTGTTTATCCATTCTTCAGTTGATGGGCACTTTGGCGGTCTCCATCTTTTTGTTATTGTAAATAGTGCTGCTATGAACACTGGTGTGCATATATCTACTGTGTTATGGCTCGTATTTCTTGTGGGTAAATACCAAGTAGAGGAATTACTGGGTCATATGGTAACAAAAAAAAAAAATTTTTTTTTTAATTTGAGTAAGTATATCATTTCATTTCTGCTCTAAGAAGAAACTGCCTATGAAGCAAAGAAAGAAAGAAAAAGAACCAAACATCAAAAGATTTTACTAAAAAAGTGAAAAGCTACTGATTGGGAAAATTATCTTCAGAGATCATATATCTGACAAGAATATAATAATCAAAATATATATCAATTTGTAAGTAAGATAGATACAGCATTGGAAACAATTCAAAACCTACAGAAAGAGGTCCAAATGATTAATAATAGAATGTCAAATATGGACAATACATTGAAAGGGCAAAGGAATAGAATTGAAGAGATAGAAGCTAGAACTAGTGAGCTAGAAGATAAATTTCTCAACACTAGTAAGAT